CTGACACACAGAACTCAACATGGTGGTGTGGAAAAGACTCTCTGATTCCCCCCCCCACCCCCGAGACCCATTTTTCCCATTCATGTCCCAGCCCTCAAGGTTGGCAGGAAAGGTGACTTTTCTACTGACCCAGAACACATGGCAGCAGAGATCTAGCATCTCTCCTGGTCAACACTGACACCAAAGAGCCCATCCTGCCAGAGGATGTGTGCACCTCCAACATCTCATTGATTCCACTGGGAGCTGAGGATATGCAATGCCGCTGCAAATTAGGCCACATTTGTGCATATGGAATAAACACTGGCTTACATGCTGTAATGAGGGGGTCTCCTCCCTTTCTCTGATGTTTCTTGAAAAATGGCTAGCATGGCATAGGCACCCAGCTCCAGAAGAGGGTTCATAGCTGAGACTCCTAACTCAGGGCTGTGAATTCCAGAGAGTAACAGGGCACCTGATCATTAAGCATTGCAATCCTTGCGTGCCTTTTTTAATATAGCCCATCAGTTCTGCATATTACTCTTTGCATGAGCTATGAAAGCGGCCATGCAATGCATCGTAGATTTGCATGTGCAGCACTTGGCCCAAATCTTTCACTTAAAACCCTCTACTCCATATCAGCCTAACCAAATAATCAACCTTAAAAACCTCAATCCAGGTTAAGAGATCAGGGTACAAAGCTCCCATTGAAATCAGTGGAAGATTGTAGCAAAATACCTTAGGTTTCAGAATCTCAGTTGCTGAAGTGTACTAGCAAAACATAAGACATGGTTGGATCCTTGCTTTTAGATGCGCACTGCATGCAAGTCTTTCCCTACATCCCTGCTTGCTCAGCATAAGTGAATGCCAGGCCCAGGAAGCTTTGCAATAAAGAAGTCTGGATATTGGAAGACACTCACATTCACCAGTCCATAGTCCTAGCGAGTCCCCAGTACTCCCGCATCACAGAGGCAATCAAGAAAATCTCAAGAGAGTTCACCTGCTTTGATGACAGACAAATAAAGAAAACACTAATAGAAGAGCTGCACAAAGAACACCAGTGTCCTACTGAAGGGAAAACTGGAACGAGCCACCATACATCTTCAAATGCCCTGTTTTGAAGGTCAAAACTTCAGGCTTAGATTCCAAGCCTCGTAACCCATCGCTGTGTCTCTGGACTGTGAAGGCCCTTTTCCAAGGACTCAAATTTGTGTGCAGCCTGCAAGGGGATTTGGTAATTCATGCTTGGACTACCCAGTGGAGTTCAGTATTGCACAAATGCCTTGTTACCAAGACACCGCATATTGTGCTCTTTTAATTCTCTCTTAATTATTTTCTTTCGACTCATGCAGTTTGGAGATGTTGTTTGCGTCTGGGCAAGATATGGCTTAGGCAGTAACCTACTGTATGGTCCTGGACTGACAAGCTGAATAGAAGAGATGTGTTGAATAGACTGAGGAGGGGAGAGGGTTTTGGGGGGAAAAAATGGAGAAAGAGGCTGAACAGAAGACCTGAAGTGAGGTTGATAGTCATCCATGCTTGAAACATCCCATGCATTTTTAATGTCTGCTGAGGACCACTTGGAAACAACAAGAAAAGTATGAAATATGGATAAGTGTTTTGCAAAAGTCTCTTCCTGAGCAATAGGAGTGACGCCTTTATGAACCCCGCGATCTTACTGTGATCTGTGGTCTGATTTTCAAGGAGTTTTGCACTTGGAAATGCAGGAAATATCGCATGCACATTTCCAGATGCCTCGATGAAAACTCCCAATTCTGTGGTTGTCCATGGCAAGGCAGGCTCCTGTCTAGCTGGGCACACCTGTGCATTCGTATGCATGCGTGTAAATGGGCAACACAGCGTGTGTGTGTTAAATTGGCCTTGCAATATAAAGAAAAGCAGGAGTCTGATGGTCTGCAGAGTTGTTACAGTTCCTGAGGGCAGTTTGGAAAAGCAGTGCTGATCAGAGAGAAAACGCCAGTGGCATTTTGTTGTATCACTCAGGTCATCCAGTGTCCTCAGACCCCTGAGCAAACGTTAGCTGCTGTATTCAGCTCTCCATTACACTGGGGTAAGTGTGGAGGTGGCTCCACTGAAATCTGTGGTGTCAACTCAGAATGTGCCTTGGCCTAACAGGGAGGAGAGCCACAACATGCCCGTGACATCAGCAGCAGTGCTTGCAAGTTACGGGAGACTAAGATCAAGCAAGTTGCTTAAAATCATGGGACAGTTCAAAGACAGAGCTTACCAGAAACCAGAAGACCTGATGTGCAACTTCCCAGCTTTCATTAATAGAATATACACCTCTTCTCCTTTTGTTTGAGAGCCAGAGAAGTGTCAAGGATTGAAATCAGTAGGAGTTAGGCACCTAAATACTTCTGGTCCCAAGTCCCCAGTTCCTTCTATGGTCTTGGGTAGGTCACATAAGCTCATTTCCTTGATTCCCCATCTCTAAAATGCAATACCTATGCCAGCTCCCCTCAGTGGGGCTGCTGCAAGGATTGATGAAGTGATGCATCTAGACTGGGACGTTTCTAGAAGTGATGCTTCTCAAAGCAACCACTTTCACTCCTATGACGGCATCTGCTCCGTCGATCTTTCCATTTCTTTTCCCTATTCCCAGGGAAGGGAGGGAGGGAGGATCTGCCTCATCTTTATCCTCTCACAGCTCTTCCACCTTTGTTTCTATCCTCTCATAGCAGCGTAGGGCTGTAAGGGACCTCATGCGGTCATCTAGTCCAGCCCCCGCTCAGGTCATCATCCTGTCAGAAATGTGAGCACTGGACGTACGGCTCTCTCTTCTGTTGGTTTTGTAAAAAATCCTCATCCTTTTCAGATCCCGTAAAAATGATATGAGTAATGCGTTTGTCTTCTACAGCAGTGGCTCTCAATGTTTTTAGGCTCAAGGCACTCCCCAGAAAACGTCAGCTCTTAATCTTCACTTGTTTTTTGACCGGAGGAGGTGTAACAGGGCAGCCAGGTGCCCAGGCCAGCAGTAATACAGAGGGACAGCAGCAACTTCCAGTGGCTGGTGCTGCCGGTGTGGCTGTTTTTTCTGACTCCCCTCCCTAAAGTCAGTGTCTGAGACCATTTTCCGAGATCAACCCCTTCAGTTAAGGTACTGCTTTTCACTAGAGAAAAACACTGGAGCAGTTCTTCCATTTCAAAGAACTTGAAAAGACCGCAACAGGTCATAATGTTTTTTAACACAGTAGTTTCCTATTTGAACTCTCTGAGGTTATCTTGTGAAGCACGTTCACATGTATAACAGTACTAATGTTGTATGGCACCCCCACTCCCAGCACCCTTGAAAGGATCTCAAGGGATCAAGGATGCTCCATCACCCCGCTTGAGAATCACTGTTCCATGCACTGTTATTAAAGGGAAGGCGTCTGAATTTAGACAGAGCAAAAGAATTGCATCAACATTTTTTCCCACAGAAAGTTTGGGGGACTGCCTGCAAAATGTCTCTGCTTTCCATGGAAGTTTTTTCAAATTTTTGTTTGTTGATAAAAGGCATGTGCAAACAACCCAAATTTGTGTTTTAGATGAAAGCCAAAATTTACTGAAATCCATGTTGCTGCCATGCCAAAAGGGGAGTAGTAATCAGTAGCCTGATGCTCTGAATTATCTGTGGACCACAATTCTCAATTAAACTATGTCTCTCACATCATGTCCTGTGACCAGAGACTTCCACAATGTGCTGAGACAGCCAAAATATGTCCATTTTTTAACCAAAATATCAGTCTTGTCCAAGAAAAAACAAACCATTTTCTGAGCAGTAATATTTCCAGCCTACATAGCTGAAATGAGACCATCACAAACACTGTTTTCAAATGGCATTCAGGTGCTAATGCCTCATGCTCCTAGGTATAAATCACCTGCCTTGTCCAAGATGATACCAATGTAATCACCTCTGCAAGTGACCAAATCACATTATTGGGTAAGAGACTTTCCCTTATCAGACCACTATGTAAATAGGAGCAGATCCCAGGACTGCTGGAGTCAATGGGATTATTTTGCATTCACCTCAATGGCCTTTGGTTCATGTCATTTTATACCAGAGGTTGCTTTTATCCTGGTGAGGTAGCAGTTAGCCAGTGGCCCTGCAGAAGTTGTCATCGAGGAGGAATCACTGAATGTCTTCCCCAAAGTCTAACTTTTGCCTCTTTTCTTCATGTTAG